AGAATTGTATTTCCCAGGGTGTATTCACAGAAATGTGTTGGTTTCCCCTGACAATGATTTTCCTCAGGGGTTATAAAGGGAAAAACCCCAAAGCGTCCAGTTCACGGCTTTTGTTCCCAAGGGGCCCCCAAGTGGCTTTTTCCCATTTGTTTTTCATAAAAGGGTCATGGGGACTGGGAAAACCCCTCGTCCCGTCCTGCCAATCCCAGATGCGGTCTGCGGTGGGGTTTGGATTTTGTCCGGGGTTGTGGTGTGGTTGTGGTGTGCAGGTTGTGGTGGGGCAGGTTGTGGCAGTGTGGGGGTGGGGGGGAGGCGGGTTTGTTTGCTGGCCCGCCGCGTGGAAATTTTAAAGGCCGGGGGGGGGGGGCCCGGGGGTGTGGTCCCAAAGGGGCCCGGGCCCACCCTAACTATCACCACCACTCCCTCCTCCCTCACGGGTCCCCATTCATCCCCCATCTTTTAACAATACGTCATTTTCCCCTATCAGGTTTTGGTTTTGGGGGCCCAGGGGGATTTTGTTTCCCAGAGTTTCTCCTTCCCCTTGGAACCCCATATAAAACATCCAGACCGATGTACGTCGTATTTACTGGCGTTTCCCCGGGGGGAATATTCACTTCACTGTCACTAGAATGTTTTTAAATGCCCTTTTAAATTTCACTATCATACCCTATAAATGCAAATTCATCGGGGGTTGTCCGGGCCCAAATTTTTCCTCTTTGCCCTGGTACAGGCGAAGGGGGAAGGGAAAACCAACCCGGGCCCACAGCCCGGAGGCAAAGGGTTTTTTGGGGGTCATCGGGGTTTTCGTCATATTTACTTTAAATCCGGGGCATTTTTTTTGGGGTAAAACCACTTAAAAACCCCTTTAAAATTCACTGTCACTGACTTTTTCATCGTGTTAGAGCTTTTAATTGGGAAAAAAAACCCCAATCCCCCGGGAGTGGGGAAAACTTCTTACCGGGGAGGTTGGTTTGAAAATGGACTGACACATGGCGTTCCCCCCTTTGGCCCCGCTGGTCCCAGTTTTTTTTTCCAAGGGTTTCCCACACCGCCCAAACTAAAGGCCCCATTTTTTCCCCCGTGTAGGCAAAAGGCCTTTGGCACGCGATTTGAACCCGTTAGAATTTGGGGGTTTAAAAAAATAGTCAGAAACATTGGCTGAAAAGACGTATTTATCGTCGGAAACAGTAAAAAGGGTTTAAAAAACAGAAACCTTTGCAGGGTACTATTTTCAAACAGTTTTTATGGTTGTATTCTTGGTTTTTTGGGGCCTCAGTTGACAGAATGAAAGATTATTACAGAAATAGAGATGATTTTGACTGGTTTCGGTTGGGAAAGTGTTGAAATTGAGCTCAAAGAAATAAAAAATGTTCAATTTTTGTGATAATCAAAGTACGAAAATTTGTCCAAAACACATCCAAATGGTTGTCCCAAAATGCATTTTGGAATACCTGACACTATTTTTACAAAATTTCAGTGGTCCCTTTAAAAAAAACGTCCAGCCTGGGAAAATCGTCCCTTTCCCGGGGGAAAAGTTGTTTTTTCTCAAAATTTGGCTCGGAAATGGTCCGGTTTAAATCGGTAATTTGTCCTTCGTTCCGGACGGTACGCACGGGGCTGAGCGGTCGGCCCCCCCTCGGGCCCTTTTCCTTTTCCCGCCAGTGTGCCATTTTTTTCCCCGTGAGCGACGGTCACCTCCCCGGGTCCGTGAAATATTTATAATATTTCATTTCAGTGGGGCCCCGATTCCGGACCCCACGCATCCGTTCAATCCCCATACCGGGGCGTTTGATCGCAAAAATTTTTTCCTCGCTACCCCCCCCAAAAACCCCCTCACCCCCCTTGTCCCAACGCGTCCAATGTGCCCGGCCCCGAGCCCGCTCACATGTTCCGCAGGGGGCCCTTGTTTACCCCGCCCGCCCGCGGTAACATCCAAGCATCAATCGGAACTTTTTTGTTTATTACAGTTTTTTTTTTGGTGATTTTTTCTGGAAAATAAGTGCCCCTGGGGGGCCCCCAAAAAAAAGCTTCTAGGGCCAAAAAATACAGCAATAAGGGGGGGAATTACTAAGGAGATGAAAGAAAAGATCATTTATAGTTTGAAAGTGGGGTGGTGTCTCGAAATGGGGGGGTTGTATAATAAACCCCCCAAACAACCAACGCATATTGGGGGTACAGCTGCTGCTGGGCCCGTAAACCGTTTAGTGCTGCCCGCAAGTCAGCTGCTGTGCCCGCTTGCCCCTGTCAAACTGTGCTGCTGTACCACCGTCGTGTGCTGCTGCTGTTTGTACCGTCTGCGCTGCTGTAAACATGTTTTGTGCTTTCGTAGCTTTGTTGCTGCTTTCTTTTTAGCATCGTCTGCTGCTGCTGTAGGGATGTCTGTTGTGGGTGTAGCATGTTTTGTTCTGCTGTAAACCCCCGTCAGCGCTGTTTCTGCTGTGCATCGTCTGCTGCCCGCTTTTCGGGTGTGTAGATCGTTTTGCTGCTGCTGTGCTGCTGTAGCATCGTTTGCCCGTGCTGTTTTGCGGGTGTAGCATGTTGTGTGGGTGTAACATGTCAGTTGCTGCTGTTTTGCATGTCTGCTGCTGCTGTAGCATCGGGCTGTTGCTTGTAGCAAACGCTGTTGCTGCTGTCCACCGTCAGCTGCTGCTTTTGCTGTAGCATTTTTCTGTGTGCTGTAAACCTCGTCTGTTGGTTCCCGTAGCATCGGGCTGTTGGGTGATGTACCCGTCAGCTGCTGCTGCTGCTTTTAGCATGGGCTGCTGTTTCTTTCTGCTGCGGGTGTTTGCATGTTGCTGCTGCCTTTTTAACATCGGGCAAATTGTGCTTTTTAGCATCGTCTGCTGCTGCTGTAAACATCGTCTGTTGCTGCTGGGGAAACATGTCTGTGTGCTGTAGCACTTTTTGTTGGTGTGGCTTATTGAGAAAACCCCAAAAAACAATTAAACCCCCGGGATTTGGGCCCCGGATAAAAAAAAAAAGGCCGTGTCATCGAAAAAGTCTAATTATTTCCCTTGGGGGTTTTCCTTTAATCTTTTCTCCCAGGATGCAACCCCCACCAGTCGACTAACCCCCCAGGTTTAAAAAGGGAAAATGCCCGGAACTAGTGCTCCTATTGGTGAATTTAGAGCCGCAAAGGTTGGGGTTTTAGAGATTTTTAAAAATCGTTAGTGGCATACACAGTTTTGGTAAGGCCCGTTCTGGGAAAAAAAAAAACCAAACCGGACCCACAGTACTGGAGGGAAAAAGGGACCCAGGGGCACAGTGTCTCATCAGCATTGGGTGATCCCTTTAATAAAAAGGGAAGGGGTCATTTATTCTTATTTAGTGAGTAGTCTTGGGACAAAATTTTATTGTTTCATGTATACTCAATATTGTGCCGTTTTTCTCTTTTGTGTTAGGGGAAAAAGTTATTTATGTGGTAAATTTTTTTTTTTTTTATACTTTTGGGTTTTCTTGCATGGATTTTAAATTTTATTTCCAAATTTTTCTTTTGGGGAAAAATTTATTCGCATACCGGGAAATTTTTTGCCCTAACAGCCAGCCCTCTTGCAGGGTTTAAAGGGCGCTTTTGCGGGGGGGCCCTGATTTTGTGCCCTTTCAAGTTTTTTTTAAGTTTCTAAAAAAGCTACCCCTGGCCTCCAAAGAAAGCTTCCCAGTGCCAAGCCTTTGGTAAAGAAGGTGAGGAAAAAACGTTGAAATTTTAAAAAAAAAATCATTGAACAATATGTAGTGGCGTACGTTTTTGGGGGGAACCCGGCCGGTGTATAACAAATCCCGTGAACCATATCTTCCCTCATAGCCAAAAAAAGGAAATCAAGGACGTGGGTTTTGGTTTCAAAGGGGGTAAATTTTTGTGATAAAAATGAGAAAACCCCCACTCGAAGATTTTTGGAAGTTATTATTGGTGGGATAAAAAAGGAAAAAATTAGCAGGAGACCCGTCTTACAAAGTCGCTTATTTGTGAAAAGGGCTAGGGAGTTGATGACGATTTGGTAAAGGGAAAATTTCCCGCAATAGTGATTTATGTGAGTGAAAATTTAAGGTAGCAAGGCTGGTTTTAGAGATTTAAGGAAAACTCCCCGGGGATACACAGTGTGGTAAAAGGGATGGTGGGGAGTTTGGACCCAAAAACGGCCCGAAAAAAAAGGTGCCCTGAATTAGGAGACATAAAAAGTGAAGGGGGCCAAAAAAAGGAAAAACAAAATTGTTCAATTGTGACGAAAACGGTCTTTTGGAAAAAAAATGCCAAAGAGGACCCTTTATTACACAAGAGGAAAAGAAAGCCCGGGAAAACAAGCATATGAAAGGCAGGTGGCTAATGTTCTGTTTCTAATGCTATGGGGATTTCAAAAATGAAAGCCGTTTTTTGGTACCATTCTGAAAATCCCCGGTGTTCGGAAAAAACAAAAATTTGAAAGGCAAATCGTTTGGTTTTTTTGGGAAAACTAAAGTAAAAGGGATTTGGGGCACGCGGGAAATTTTTGTAGAGTGGTTCAACCCAAAATGTTTGGCCCTAGTATTAAGAATTTCCTCCCGGAAAAGAAAAAAGGATTCAAATGCCCCCTAGTAAAAGGACCAAAGCACCCGCTCATCCCCCAAAAATTTGGGTGACCTAAATTTTGAAGGGGGGTTTGGGTTTTTCACAGTAAAGTTTTGCCCCCCAAACCACTCCCCTCCTCCACCCCCTGGACCAGCAGGCATTGCAACTTTTAAAAAAATCTACACAAAGGGAATTTTTGAAAGGTGCTTGAATGTGGGCCTCGAACTCACTTGGGCCCCCCACGAGTTTTTGGAAAAAAAACATTTTGTATTCTCCATTGTGTAAGCCCTTTTAGGTAAAGGCCCTTTGGGAAAGGGGGTGGACTACAAGGGCTTTGAATCTGCTTGGAGAAAAATTTTGGGCAGTTTTTGTCCAAAAAAGGGGTTTTGAAGGGTTTGGGGCCCGGGCCCTGATGAGCCCATGTCCGTTGTTAAATCCATTGTGGCACTGGGGGGCTTCCATGGGGTTGGATGTGAGTTTGGAGGATGTGGAAGAGTTGGTGGAGGACCACAACAAAGAGCTAACCAATGAGGAGCTGCAAGAGCTTCAGCAGGAACAGCAACAGATGGCAGCTCTGAATCTTGCTGCAGAGGAGGAGGAGGAAGAGAGATGGAAGAAAGTGCCTTCTTCAGAAATTAAGGAGATTTTTGAAATGTGGGGTAGGATGGAAAGATTTATGGAGAAACATCACCCAGAGAAGGATGTTGCAAGCCATATCGGCAACTTGTACAGTGAAAGAGTCTTGGCCCATTTTAGGGAAGTTTTAAAGAGACGCCAGAAACAGAGCTCTCTGGACAGTTTTTTTGCGAGACAGGACTCCAGTGACTCTCAAGGTGGTCCTAGTGGCATTAAGAAACAGAGAAGAGAAGTAACCCCAGAAAAGCAATTGGTACCCAAGGTGTTGATGGAAGGGGATTCCTCTTCCAAACAGTAATTCATCCAATCTGTCTCCTTCTCCAGTCTTCCATACACAAAGAAGACTCGCCAATAAAGGTAAGTGTTATTCTGTTAATGTTTAATTCATGTGCCACTGTATTGTTTATGTACTACATCTATATTTCACGTAAAAAATTTTTTTGTTTTAATACTTCTGGGTGTCAGGAACGGATTAATTGAATTTACATTATTTCTTATGGGGAAAATTGATTCGAAAATCGTCCATTTCGATAATAGTCCCACTTCCAGGAATGGATTACGGACGATTATTGAGGGACCACTGTATTACAATAATGCAGTAGTCTGCATAATAGTAAATCTATTTTTTGTGCAAGTAAAAATTCAAAATGGAAAGCAAGTGTAATATAAGAGATGCCTGGAGATGTGACTAATGAACATAGAAAATATTAGTTTAGTGCCAGGAATGTCTGCAGTGTTTATTCTGGATCCCATTTTGAAATTGTCATTTTTAAATTTTGTGTGAGTGGCCAAATTACCAATTTTTGATCACTTTATTGGGTAGTTTAAATAGTTAAATGGGCAGTTTCTTGTACTCCATTGATAGAATTGAAGACATACTAGCAAAATAGCTAAGAATTTTGTCAAATGGAACAATGGAACTGGCCTAAAATTGGACTCGAAGTGGACAAAATTGCCGATGCAGAATTACTGCTGACAGCAAAATTCACCGTGGTTGTTTAATATATTTATAGATGGGGTCTTGGCAAGAGGCGTGGAGTTAAAAGATACAGAATCACACAAAGTGGGAGTTGTCACAGTTGCTCTTTGCTGATGACACTGTCCTCTTGGGAGATTCTGAAGAGAAGTTGCAGAGGTTGATGGATGAATTTGGTAGGGTGTGCAAAAGAAGAAAATTAAAAGTGAATACAGGAAAGAGTAAGGTTATGAGGATAACATAAAGATTAGGTGATGAAAGATTGGATATCAGATTGGAGGGAGAGAGTATGGAGGAGGTGAATGTATTCAGATATTTGGGAGTGGATGTGTCAGCGGATGGGTCTATGAAAGATGAGGTGAATCATAGAATTGATGAGGGGAAAAGGGTGAGCGGTGCACTTAGGAGTCTGTGGAGACAAAGAGCTTTGTCCTTGGAGGCAAAGAGGGGAATGTATGAGAGTATAGTTTTACCAACGCTCTTATATGGGTGTGAAGCATGGGTGATGAATGTTGCAGTGAGGAGAAGGCTGGAGGCAGTGGAGATGTCATGTCTGAGGGCAATGTGTGCTGTGAATATAATGCAGAGAATTCGTAGTTTGGAAGTTAGGAGGAGGTGCGGGATTACCAAAACTGTTGTCCAGAGGGCTGAGGAAGGGTTGTTGAGGTGGTTTGGGCATATAGAGAGAATGGAGCAAAACAGAATGACTTCAAGAGTGTATAAGTCTGTAGTGGAAGGAAGGCGGGGTAGAGGTCAGCCTAGGAAAAGTTGGAGGGAGGGGGTAAAGGAGGTTTTGTGTGCGAGGGGCTTGGACCTCCAGCAGGCATGCGTGAGCATGTCTGATAGGAGTGAATGGAGACAAATGGTTTTTAATACTTGACGTGCTGTTGGACTGTGAGCAAAGTAACATTTATGAAGGGATTCAGGGAAACCGGCAGGCCGGACTTGAGTCCTGGAGATGGGAAGTACAGTGCCTGCACTCTGAAGGAGGGGTGTTAATGTTGCAGTTTAAAAACTGTAGTGTAAAGCACGCTTCTGGCAAGACAGTGATGGAGTGAATGATGGTAAAAGTTTTTCTTTTTCGGGCCACCCTGCCTTGGTGGGAATCGGCCAGTGTGTTAATAATAAAAAAACAGCAAAATTCGTCAGAGTGAAATTTCATCAGTTTTCCATCAAATTTTGTACCTTTTATTTTATCTTCAGAAAAACATTCTCTACCATTTCATAATTTTTTTTGAGACCACTGAGAGCAAGTCTGAGAGATGGGGTTGTGAATCTGATAGGGTTAAGAAGAAAACCATTACCTTAAACATAAAACTGGATGATATACTAAACTCTGAACCTAGGAAAAATATATATGTGGCATTATTTATCTATACGTACTCGTCTACAAATGATTGAAGGGATCAAGTCTCAGCTCTTGGCCCTACTGCTCCATTTGCTGCTTGCCAGATTCACTCCTTCCTAGCCTCATGGGCCTTATTGTACCTACTCTTAAAACTATGCATGGAGTATGCCTCCACCACTTCTTCAATGAGGTTATACCATTTTCCGACCCTCTTCCTTTACCCCTCCCCACCCTGAAACTGGAGAAATACTTTTTTACATTCCTGAGACTCATCTATGTCAAAGTTTCAGCTGTGTCCTTGAGTACCTGTATCCCCACTTCTCAATAGCCTTTCCCTGTCTGCCTTATCAGTAACTACATAGTGCAACAATTTGGCTAATTGCCCAGCAATATCTCAATCGTTTAGCCTATCAGTTGAGCCTCACATTGTATACTGTCTACTGTAACTGACAGTGACATACTCTAGCTTCTTCTTCTTTCCTCTTTCAATAAACCGGCCATTTCCCACCGCGGCAGGGTGGCCCAAAAAGAAAAGCTTCTCTTTTTAACTTTAGCAATGTATATAGGAGAAGAGGTTATGTACTAGCCTCTTGCTCATTGCATTTTAGTCGACTCTTACAACACTCATGGCTTACGGAGGAAGAGTTCTGTTCTACTTCCCCACAGAGATAAGAGGAAATAAACAAGAACAAGAACTAGCAAGAAAATAGAAGAAAACCCAGAGGGATGTGCATATACTATATATACGTTTGTACATGCATGTGTAGTGTGACCTAAGTATAAGTAGAAGTAGCAAGACGTACCTGAAATCTTGCATGTTTCTTCTTCTTCTTCTTCTTTCAACAAACCGGCCATATCCCACCGAGGCAGGGTGGCCCAAAAAGAAAAACAAAAGTTTCTCTTTTTAACATTAGTAATGTATACAGGAGAAGGGGTTACTAGCCCCTTGCTCCAAGTATTTTATTCACCTTTCATGACACGCATGGATTACAGAGGAAGAATTCTGTTCCACTTCCCCATGGAGATAAGAGGGAATAAACAAGAACAACTTGTAAAAAATAGAAGAAAACCCAGAGGGGTGTGTATATATATGCCTGTACATGCATGTGTAGTGTAACCTAAGTGAAAGTAGAAGTAGCAAGATGTATATGAGACAGAAAAAAAGACACCAGCAAACCTACCATCAAGTAAAACAATTACAGGCTTTCATTGTACACTCACTTGGCAGGACAGTAGTACCTCCCTGGGCAGTAGCTGTCTACCAACCTACTACCTAGAACAAACTCTAGCTATGTTATTCAAAATTTTAATACCTTAGTGTAGCACACAAACTGTAGTTTACATGTAATAAAGTACAGTGGACCCCCGCCTTACGATGGCACTGCGTTATGTTAAAGCCGCCATACGATACATTTTAACGCAAAAAATTTGCCTCGCCTCACGCTAAAAAACTCACCTTACATGATTCGTCCAGGACGCGTCCCACGTGTGGCCTCAGCAACAGTGTTTACAAGCCAGCCAGTGCGGTTGCATCTACGCATACATTCGATACATTTCACATTATCCCAGTGTTTTTAGTGGTTGTAATGGCAAAATAAGTCACCAGGGACCTCAAGAAAGCTTCTAGTGCCATCCCTGTGGTAAAAAGGGTGAGAATTAGTATGGAATTGAAAAAAAGAGATTAAGGAAATGTGTGCAAAGTGGGTTGAACTGCAAACCTTTATGGATGAAAATCACCCTCACACAAATATTGCAAGCCGTGCTGGTGACTATTACAAAGACAATGTTGTGAACCACTTTAGACAAATCGTAAAGGAACGAGAGGTACAGAGCTCTATGGACAGATATGTTGTGCGACAGAGGTCCAGTGACTCTCAAGCTGGTCCTAGCAGCATTAAAAGAAGAAGGGAAGTAACCCCGGAAAAGGATGTGCTACCTCAAGTCCTAATGGAAGGGGATTCCCCTTCTAAACAATAACAACTTCCACACTCTCCCCTCCTCCCATCCCATCAATCATCACCAGATCTTCAATAAAGGTAAGTGTCATGTATTCTATTCTTAGTAGAGTATTAACTGTGCATGTCTTCTTCAGTTCATGTGTATTAAAATTAATATTTCATGTGGTAAAAAAAATTTCTTTTTCATACTCTGGGGTGTCTTGCACGAATTAATTTGATTTCCATTATTTCTTATAGGGAAAATTAATTCACCTTACGATAATTTTGGCATACGATGAGCTCTCAGGAACGGATTAATATCGTAAGGCGGGGGTCCACTGTACTGTTATGCATAAAGAAAGCCACTATCATGCATGAACATTTCAGGCAGACTAACCCTTATGCTTATAGTCTACTTAAAAGTAGATATAGGTTATAGAATGGTACGTAGTAGGTTGGTAGACAGCAACCACCCAGGGAGGTACTACCGTCCTGCCAGGTGGCTGCGAAATAGAAACCTGTAACTGTTTTACATGATGGTAGGATTACTGGTGTCTTTTTCTGTCTCATAAACACACTGGATAACAGGTATATCTTGCTACTTCTACTTACACTTAGGTCACATTACACAGGCATGCATATACAGTAGGGCCCCACTTATACAGCGGGTTAGGATTTCTCGAGTACAGCCTCTCCTCACTTAACAATGGCATTCCGTTCCTAAGACCACATCACTAAACGAATTCGTCAGTAAGTGAGGAGCATAATATAATGGTAGTGGGTTTATGATGGTAGGATTGCTGGTGTCTTTTTCTGTCTCATAAACACACTTGCTACTTCTACTTACACTTAGGTCACACTACACAGGCAAGCATATACAGTACGGCCCCACTTATACAGCGGGTTAGGATTTCTCGAGTACAGCCTCTCCTCACTTAACAATGGCATTCCGTTCTAAGACCACATCATTAAACGAATTCGTCAGTAAGTGAGGAGCATAATATAATGGTAGTGGGTTTATGTCAACCATCTCTGATATTGTTTTAATGTCACCTTTGCACCACTTATAACATTTCTGGTATATTTTTAAATGTTTATACGGTAGTTTACTGTATATTGAAATGAGCAGAACAGAGGAAATCAGTCCAAGGCGTCGGTAAATGAGTATGTCGCTAAGTGAAGAGAGGCTGTAATTCAAGTGGTTCTATGATTTCAGGCTAGGAAAGATTACACAAGAAGTGGATGAGGTGTTGTTTGGTATAATTACATTTGGGAGATGAATCTTTTGCTGGTTCGGGCAATGAATTTCAGATCTTGGGGCCCTTTACATGCACTGCATTTTTGCACTGGCTGAAGCAGACGTGAGGGATGCCGAAGAGAGTTTTGTGCCTTGTGTTGTGCCTTTGTGTTCTGTTATAGCTATCAAGAAGTTAGATATGGTTTATACTGTTTATCTACTTGTTATTCCCTCAGACTCCCATACAGGAACTAATAAGCAAGATTTTGTATCCTTTCTTGCTGTAGAAATTTACTGGCACTTGACTCTTTCTTATGATGGTAGCACCAATAGAACATTAGGAGTTCCATGATTTTTAAGATAATACAATGCAGCTTAAGCATACACTGTGCTTTCTGTTGCTGTTTTATCAGTTTCAAGCTTGAGATACATGGCAAGACAAAAAACTTGTGCTAGAATCATGACTTACTTAGAATCACTCGAGGCTTCTTCACCCCTGACTGATCTGCGTTGAAGATTTTGGGTGATGTTGGCAAATGAGGATGAAGTCTGGAATATATGCAGTCATAATACTTACTTTAATTGTTTGAGAAACTCTATAGTAATGCTAGGAAAAGGCAAGTATTAAAGTTAAAGAAATAATACATATATAATACGTGTATACACACATAATAATACATGAACAGCATCTACACTTGTCCATGTTACATTTCTCTTATAGGCTTAAAGGAACTACTAGAAATAAAATGAACTTAATGGATTTAGAATGTCTCATTAGCACTAATTTCTAATTTTAACACATACCATAATAACAATTAAAATAATTAAACGAGTACTTACATGCAATGTGGTTATGTCCCACTCAGTTTGCAGTTTGAAAAGACACTCAATTAACTCAGCAACTCTGTGTGTCACTCCCGACAGCAAGACAACTTGACTGCTTAGGTCTACTAAGGAAGTCAGGCTATACACCAGGTACATACACACAAAAGAGTACTGGGTGTAGGAAGGAAAAAATGTAGCTAAGAAAAGAAAATTTACTATAATTAAATTACTGTAATGCAAATGCACCTGTAAGCCTAAATATACATTACTTGGCAGCTAATTGTGTGTACATATGTAGGTAGAAGTATAGCAATGGTCTACCAAAATGCCTAAATTAATGTTTACGTTACCTTTTAGATAATATATAGTGGTAGCCATCTGAATAAATAAATAATTTACAACAAAAGTAATACAGGTCCTCCATCACAAATCCGGCATCATTGGGACCTGTAGTGTGCCGGATTACTGAGTTTCCCGAATTACAGAGTGGTTAGGTTAGAATACACTTAATAAAATTAACCAACTTGACTTACACAGTTCATTAAACATCGGCAAAAATCAAACATTTCTGCTACTTTGAGCTCAATTTCAAGGTACTTTTCGTCATGAAAGCAATCAAAATCATGTCTATTTCTGTAATATATCTTCCATTCTATCAAATGAGTCCAAAAAATGAGAATACAACCATAAAAACCATACAAAAATATACTGCAAAGAGGCGGCTAATGGCTGAGAAGTGAATTCCCTTATTTATTGTCCGTCTTTTTTATTTTTGTTGTACGTTAAGAAGCATCTTTCCATCATACATTGCCCAAGTTTCAATGAGATAGCCCAACAAACAACCGAGAGAAAAAAAATATTTACCAAAAATCATATATGGCAAGCCCAAGCCAGGTACTGGAAATAAGTCACTTTGTCTGACTTTTCTGGGTTATCCTAGGTTCTCTATACATACACTGCTATGTATGATAATCTATGTAACTGTATTTGTGTATACCTGAATAAACTTATTTACTTCTAGTCTGTCAACTGAGTACAAGAAACCGCCCATTCACTTATTTCAACTAACCAATAAAGTGGTCAGAAATTGGCAATTTGGCCAATTTCACACAAATTTCAACAGATGCCAATTTCAAAATAGGGTCCAGAATAAACAATGCAGACATTCCTGGCACTAAAATAACATTTTCTCTGTTCATTAGTCATGGCTACAGGCCCCTCTTATATTACTCTTGCTTACCATTTGGAATTTTTATTCACAAAAAAAAAAAAATTGAAGATTTACTGTTATGCAGACTACTGCATTATTGTAATAATTGTATAAATAATGTCAATCCATTCTTGACTCCGTACTGGAATTTAGACTGGTGACGTCATTTGTTTACTCTTGAGCTTCGCTAAAGAATAGAACATTTTTGCTACTGTGAGCACAATTTCAAGGTACTTTTCGTCATGAAAGCAATCAAAATCATATCTATTTCTGTAATATATCTTTCATTCTATCAAATTAGACCGAAAAAATGAGAATATAACCATAACAACCACACAAAAATACAGTGGACCCCCGCTTTACGATCACCTCCCAATGCGACCAATTATGTATGTGTATTTATGCAAGTGCGTTTGTACGTGTATGTTTCGGGGTCTGAAATGGACTAATCTAATTCACAATATTCCTTATGGGAACAAATTCGGTCAGTACTGGCACCTGAACATACTTCTGGAATGAAAAAATATCGTAAACCAGGGGTCCACTGTACATATACCGCTAAGCGGCCGTTAATGGCTGAGAAGTGAACTATTTATGGTCTGATTTGTTTCATTTTTGGTGTACGTGGAAGTATCTTTCCATCATACATTGCCCAAGTTTGAATAAGATAACCCTACAAACAACTGAGAAAATAATAATAATAATAATATAATAATAATAATAATAATATCTTTATTTACTACACGTACATGTACAAGGTGTACAGGCCTAGCTGACATCAGTGACATACTACTGTATAGAAAGGCACTTGTTATGCTTAGTATTTCAAGAAAATTAGGTCAGTGTCCCAGGATAACACCCACACTAGTCGACTAACACCCAGGTACCCATTTACTGATGGGTAAACATAGACAACAGGTGTAAGGAAACACGCCTAATGTTTCTACCCTGGCTGGGAATCGAATATTTACCAAAAGTCATATATGGCTAACACAAGCCAGGTACTAAAAATAAGCCACGTTGACTTTTTTGGGGTTATCCTAGGTTCTCTACACATATGCTGCTATGTGTGATAGTCTATAGAGAGAAAATAACTTTTTTGTTTCATGTTTATGGTGCAGCACGAGTGTATATCATAGTTACCCCTGTGCTATACTCCATTTTCTCTAATATAAGCCCCCAAGACAAGGATAGGAGAATGGTATTTGTTTACCATATCCTCTTCATAACTCTGTCGAACTGCTCGGTGTTATGCCAAATATTATTCATTCTGGAGTATTTAACATGTTTTATGTTATTTATATTGTTTCTTATGTCATATTAGATCAATTGTGATAGGCAAATAAGCTGTAGTGTTGATATTAGTGTAATAATAAAGCATATTCTCCTGCTTCATGAGACTGAGCTCATGGCAACCGACAGTGGCTTCAAAGCCACCTTATCTTTAATGTGTAGGTGCTTTACATAATGAGAAGCATTTCTTTTATTCATTGGAACTATGGCTAGGGCTAAAAGTAAGCAGGTTAAAACAATAAATGAAGAAAAAGAAATTGGAATGACTTATTCAGCAAGTAGCGCCACCAAACAGTACCAGCAGGTTGGTGTGGCGACCCTGGAAATTTGAAATTATGCTAGTCAAAATTAGTGCCGAATAACTGAAGGAACCGAATACTGATTGCCGGATTTGTGATGGCGGACCTGTATCAAGAACATATCAAATTTATAATGGAGCCACACTGTTTATGCTAGTGTCCTTCACACCTGTGCTATCTTCACCTCTACTCCATTACAGTTAAAAGTGTTTCCTCATCTAAATAAATGAACCCTTTCATTGTCCAGAGCCCTGATCTAAAACTTGTCCACAACATAAAAGAATTTTCAAAAACAATTTTTATTTATCTTATGAAATGGCAGAGAATCTTTTTCTGAAGGTAATAAAACAAAAAGTACAAAATTTGATGGAAAACTGATGAAATTACACTTTTGCGAATTTTATTGTGTCACCGATATTTACAGTGGCGATTTTTACCCCTCTGAGTCCTGTTTTAGGCCAATTATAGCATTCCATTAGACCAAATTCTTAACTATTTCACTAGTTTGTCTTCCATTTTATCAACTGGGCACAAAAAACTGCCCAATCAACTATTTCAACTATCCAATAAATTGACGAGAAATTCTTAATTTGGCAAATTTCACAAAAATTTCAAGATATTCCATTTTCAACATAGAGTCCAGAATAAACAATGTAGGCATTCCTGGCAATAAAATAACATTTCTTCTGTTCATTAGTTATGTTCCCAGGCTTTACATATAAATTCATTTTGATTTTTTATTCACACAAAGTCAATTTTTATTCACATAAAAAAATAGAAGATTTACCGTTATGGAATATTGTAATAAATAATAATATTTCTGCTATTTTGAGCACAATTTCAAACTAATTTCAGTCCTGAAACTAAAGAAAGTTGTCACTATTTCTATAATATCTTCCATTCTATCAAATGAGACCAAAAAACAGAATAAAATGATAAAAACTACATGAAAATAAACTGTAAAGTTGCTGTTTTAAACCAAAAACAGTCAAAGTTTTTTCTCGTACACTGCATGCTGCAGGATTTCTTTTATAAGGTGCACACTTACTGCATAGACTCATTCTCTAATATATAGGCCCAAATTTACTGCTCACAGCTTATGAGTGAGCTGAGATCATGGCAAAATACTATGGGACTGACAGTGACCTCAAACCATAGTACTAAGGCACAGACAATGAAAGGGTTAATTTAATGATTAAGTAATTTTCCATCTCAGACTATACATACCTACATATAAATCATAAGTTATAAATTTGATACATTTTAAAAAGAGGAAATGTTGCAGGGCAATTAGCATATAAAAGATTAGTAACAGCTAATTTAACAGATTGAATAAATCACTATTCCAAGCTTTGATCTAAGACACTTGGAATGAATATTCACACAAGTTGGATGAACCACTTATAAATGTAAAGCTGCATATAAGTATAGTACTGGTACAGAGCAGAAATTCACAATATAAAATACTGTAATGTACTGAAATTAACCCTTTGACTGTCGCGGCCGTATATATATGCTTTACGAGGTACCGTGTTTGACGTATATACGTATACTCATAAATTCTAGCAGTTTCAAATCAAGCAGGAGAATACTGGTAGGCCCACATGTGAGAGAATGGGTCTGTGTGGTCAGTGTGCACCATATAAAAAAAATCCTGGAGCACGCAGTGCATAATGAGAAAAAAAAAAAACTTTTTTTTTTAATTAAAATGCCGAATTTGTGGTCTATTTTCGTATAGTATTTATGGTTGTATTCTCGTTTTCTTGGTCTCATTTGATAGAATGGAAAATATATTATAGAAATAGAGGTAATTTTGATTGATTTTACTATAAAAGGATCCTGGAAATGGAGCTCAAAGTACGGGAAGTGTTTGATTTTTGCCGATGTTCAAAAGTAAACAAATGATGTCATTGTCTAATAAATGTCCAACTAGCCATTCTAATATGCAGTCATGAATGGGTTGATGTTATTTATACAATTATTACAGTATTGCAGTAGTCTGCATAACAGTAAATCTTCTATTTTTTGTTTGAATAAAAATTCAAAATAGAAAGCAAGAGTAATATCACAAGGGCCTGGAGACATGACTGATGAACAAAGAAAATGTTATTTTAGAGCCAGGTAATGTCTGCATTGTTCATTCTGGATCTTATTTTGAAATAGTCATATTTTTTAATTTTCGTGAAATTGGCCAAATTGCAAATTTCTGACCACATTATTGGGTAGTTGAAATCGGTAAATGGGCAGTTTCTTGTACTCAATCGATAGAAAAAATGAAGTTCTAAAGAAATAGCTATGAGTTTGGTCGACTGGAACAATGGAATTAGCCGAGAATAGGGCTCAAATTGGGTGAAATCGCCGATTTGTAAATATCGCCGAGGTCGCTAACTTTGCGAGAGCATAATTCCATCAGTTTTCCATTAAATTTCGTTTTTTTGGGTGTCATTACAATCGAGAAAAGATTCTCTATCATTTCATAAGAAATTTTTTTTTTTTTTAAATTTTGCGACACCAGGAGACACCTCAGGATTGGGGTTTGTGACAGTCAAGAGGTTAAGGAAGAAATTAACAATTTATGATTGAAAGCAGGTTATTTAATACACAAAACTCAACTCTGAATGATCCATACAGGTTTACCACTTTGTGAATATAACAATAACAATTAACAAACAATTGCTCAAGCTACTTACTGCACTGACTATTGATGAAATGTTTTCGTCATCATCAAACTGGCCTCCAAATATTGGTATAGCTATAGCTAAATAAGAAATAATTGACCCCAGGTAGTCAAAAATATAACGGGTCATATTCAACAAGATCTGAAAACAAAAAAATTGGAACTGCATGTAGAGAATATGTAGAGTTATTATTGAAAGAATTAAGAGTAAGACGGAGAATAGGATAGCAGATGAACAAGGAGGCTTTAGGAAAGGTAGGAGGTGTGTGGACCAGGTGTTTACAGTGAAACATATAAGTGAACAGTATTTAGATAAGGCTAAAGAAGTTTTTGTGGCATTTATGGATTTGGAAAAGGCGTATGACAGGGTGGATAGGGGGGCAATGTGGCAGTTGTTGCAGGTGTATGGTGTAGGAGGTAGGTTACTGAAAGCAGTGAAGAGTTTTTACGAGGATAGTGAGGCTCAAGTTAGAGTATGTAGGAAAGAGGGAGATTATTTCCTAGTAAAAGTAGGCCTTAGACAAGGATGTGTGATGTCACCGTGGTTGTTTAATATATTTATAGATGGGGTTGTAAGAGAAGTAAATGCGAGGGTCTTGGCAAGAGGCGTGGAGTTAAAAGATAAAGAATCACACATAAAGTGAGAGTTGTCACAGTTGCTCTTTGCTGATGACACTGTGCTTTTGGGACATTCTGAAGAGAAGTTGCAGAGGTTGGTGGATGAATTTGGTAGGGTATGCAAAAAAAGAAAATTAAAAGTGAATACAGGAAAGAGTAAGGTTATGAGGATAACAAAAAAATTAGGTGATGAAAGATTGGATATCAGATTGGAGGGAGAGAGTATGGAGGAGGTGAATGTATTCAGATATTTGGGAGTGGATGTGTCAGCGGATAGGTCTATGAAAGATGAGGTGAATCATAGAATTGATGAGGGGAAAAGGGTGAGTGGTGCACTTAGGAGTCTGTGGAGACAAAGAACTTTGTCCTTGGAGGCAGAGGGGAATGTATGAGAGTATAGTTTTACCAACGCTCTTATATGGGTGTGAAGCATGGGTGATGAATGTTGCAGCGAGGAGAAGGCTGGAGGCAGTGGAGATGTCATGTCTGAGGGCAATGTGTGGTGTGAATATAATGCAGAGAATTCGTAGTTTGGAAGTTAGGAGGAGGTGTGGGATTACCAAAACTGTTGTCCAGAGGGCTAAGGAAGGGTTGTTGAGGTGGTTCAGACATGTAGAGAGAATGGAGCAAAACAGAATGATTCAAGAGTGTATCAGTCTGTAGTGGAAGGAAGGCGGGGTAGGGGTCGGCCTAGGAAAGGGTGGAGGGAGGGGGTAAAGGAGGTTTTGTGTGTGAGGGGCTTGGACTTCCAGCAGGCATGCGTGAGCGTGTTTGATAGGAGTGAATGGAGACAAATGGTTTTTAATACTTGACGTGCTATTGGAGTGTGAGCAAAGTAACATTTATTAAGGGATACAGGGAAACTGGCAGGTCGGACTTGAGTCCTGGAGATGGGAAGTACAGTGCCTGCACTCTGAAGGAGGGGTGTTAATGTTGCAGTTTAAAAACTGTAGTGTAAAGCACCCTTCTGGCAAGACAGTGATGGAGTGAATGATGGTGAAAGTTTTTCTTTTTCGGGCCACCCTGCCCTGGTGGGAATCGGCCAGTGTGTTAATAAATAAAAAAATAAAGTTTTGTAAACAATATAGTGACAACAGTGTTTGTGTAGTTATTGTGTAGTATAGAAAGAGAAAAAACTTACAAAATAGTGCTCATATTGCTCTCACAGGCCATAAAAGTTACTTAAAAAAGATTTAAAAGTAACAGAAAAAAGTACAAAAAAAAAAAAAGATTACCAGGTGACCAGCAGTCGGCGATGTTGCCATATGCCGGTCATTTTCTGTCAACTTCACGCCTCTACATCTCGGTAAGTATTGATGGCAATTTTTTTTTTTTTAGCCTATAATGTTTAGAAAATTTTCAGAGAATTTTTTTTTTTTTCGAATTTTTTCCAACCCTGAGAACAGGTTTGGAAGAGGGCCTGCCGACCCTGAAAGGGTTAATACATCACCAATACTGGCTCATAAGACGTATCTATATGGCACCAACAGTGAAAGGGTTAATATTTCATTCAAATCAAGAGAAAACTAGACCTTATCTTGTTCTGACAACTTGTTACAAAAACCTGAAACAGGTTGAATGCTAGAGGGGGAGACCTTCTAGTATTCTCTGAAGATGTCTATATCTTATAGATATCGCCTTTTTGTAACACTGTGAGCCAAGACATGTTGCTGTACTGCATTAATGTGAAGATAATTTGTTTAGTATCACCAGTCACTCCCAGTTACACATCCAATACCTGTTCAACTGCCAGATTAATACGTGTCCATCTGGGTCCACCTGTCTGCATATGTGTCCACCCAACATTTAATGAAATATTGTTAAACACAAATAATTAAGACAGGCTACCACTTTTGCTAGGGGCTAATGCTACTCACCACTCTGAGGACAAAAATATTTTAAGATAAGTATGAGTGTACTGTATATGCATGTTTACTTTATTGTTTTTTAGGCCTGGTTCTATTGCTCACATAATATATAATAGGGTAAATATGTCATCATGCATTTACATGCCTTTAAAAGTGAAAACAAGGGTGATTCACGTTATGGCACCTAACCCACTGTATAATCAGGGCATCTCATGTATCAGTATTGAATATGCAGCTTCCTAAATGTAAAGTCCTCACAATATTAACTAATAAATCCAAAACTATTTGCAAGGTTGTTTTGCTAACACATTAAAAAATGCTACAGTGCTTGTGCTATGATAAATAACTCTAAAAGAACAGAGGAGTGATGCTTGAGTACACTTCAGCAAATTGTTCCTGTAGCAAGTTACATGACAAAAGAAAAAATTTAGCCATACCTGTCTATTGATGAGTCTCTGTTGAGCCAGTATAAGTGTATCCAGTGACAGGTTAGTTTTGACAGACTCTACTAGGCCTGAGACATGAAATGAAATAGACTCCGAGTCCACACGCACCTGCATGTGTTTAAACCTAAGGAAACAAGAGAAAATAAAGTATGAGTACTGTCTATGATTATTATTTATTGTAATTTTCTAAGAGGAGTTTTATTATTACTGTCACAAATCATGTGGAAATGTTAAACCTGTAAGGGTTATACTGCACCCCCAATAGATTGCTCAATACAGTATGTCCCCACACCCCCTTTGCCAGACTATAGATATCATCATCATCATCAGTCCTATAAGATACCAGCATCACTTCCAAAGATGTCAACAGCTTGGTTTTACTTTACATATGGATAGTTAGGAATAAGATAGAGAATAGTTTATTCTAATCTAACAATTTTTCTTTTAAATTGTTCTGAGATAGAGTACCCCATTTGTCTTCAGCTCCCTACCCCCAATGGGTATAGATACCCCCCAATTAAGAACCCCTGCATAAGGGGTAATGAGGTTTGATCTGAGGGGAGGGAAGGTCCAATTCACAGGATCAAGAGCCCTACTTTATTAGCATCAAGGCTGTAATTCTGAGCACTGCAACATGATGTAAAACAAAAACTTGCAAAATTAAATACCTTGCAGTCCAACTTTTTTAATTGAATACTGTACAATATAATTTATTCAAACAATACTAAAAGCAAAGAAAACTGTATAGGCCTTACAAAATTTTCAGTTTTTCATGCTTCTGATTATTATTTCCATTAATTTTTATATTAATAAAATGTATGATAATAATTACCTCAACCATAAATTTCAGAAAAATTTTCATGCTGTATTATTATTTTAAAAATAATTATTAAGCAAGTGTAAGCTTTTAAACCAGAACGTGTGATGTTTATTGTTCTCAACTTACTAGACGACTGAGAGAGATGAGAAGTGGAAATTTTTTGCATCATTAATACAATGGTATAATACCAACAAGTTAATAAGACACATGCACAATACCTGAGTAACTTTAGAGATACCCAGGGCATGACCTACTTTAAATAGTGCTCCCTGCCCACATGTGATGATATCTTCAATTACTCCATCTCTTCACATCTTCCACTGGCTCCGGTATAAAAAAAGTCACCATCCTCTTGCCTCTGTAATAGCCTAATAAAACCTGCTATACAGATGAAACATCTCACATTAAAGATACCCAGGTATTGTATGCACTTGTCTTAAGTCATTTTGTGTGTTCGGTTCTTTATGTACAACCTGCTTAATAACAAAATGTACTAACAGAAAATAAGATCAAATTATGAAGAAACATATCTAATAATTACCTGAAATTTCCCTCACATTTTTCTTGTTTGACAACAAATTTGACTACTGGTGACATTACCAGTCTGTTGACAACTGTACCAAGGAAGAAAAGCCCATATATGCTTACAGTTCCAAGCCACCCTGTCCTACGAAAGAAAATAACTGAGATTACTATAACAGATACAGTGCAGAAGGAAAAAAGTATCAACTTTAAAACAATAACTTTAACCCTTTAACTGTCCAAATGTTGACCTACGTTATCACTAGCACTCCAAATGTAGATCAACGTTTTATTTTTCCTGACTTCAAATTTGGCACCAGAGGCCTGACAGTCCTAGGTAGTATAGAACGGGTCTTAACATTCAGTGTGCACAGTACTAAAAATAATCTGGGACCACTTAGTACAGGTTGGCCATCACTAATCCAGCATCATTGGGACCTGTACGGTGCAGAATTAGTGAGTTTGCCAGATTACAGAGTGGTTAGGTTAGAATACACACAACCCAATGGCAATATTTACACATTGGCAAGCATATGCCCTATGCTTGGCCCATTCCATTGTTCCAGTCTATCAAACTCATAGTTATTTCACTACTCCTTCTATTCTGTCGACTGAATACAAGAAACCACCCATTTACCCATTTTTAACTACCCAATAAAGTTGTCAGAAATCGGTAATTTGGTCAATTTCACACAAATTTCAAGAGAAGCCAATTTCAAAACAGGGTCTAGAATAAACAATGCAGACATTCCTGGTACTAAAATAACATTTTCTCTGTTCATCAGTCACATCTCCAGGCCTCTCTTATATTACACTTGCTTTCTTTTTTGAATTTTAATTCACACAAAAAAACAGAAGATTTACTGTTATGCAAATTACTGCATTATTGTAATAACTGCATGAATATTGTCAACCCATTCATGACCACATATCAAACTGGCCAGTTGGACACGTATTGGAAGGTGACGTCATTTGTTTACTCTTGAACATCAGCAAAAATCAAACATTTCCGTAACTTTGAGCTCAATTTCAAAGTACTTTCAGTCACGAAACCAATCAAAATCATATCTATTTCTGTAATATATCTTCCACTCTATTAAATGAGACCAAAAAAATGAGAACACAACCATAAAAACCATGTGAAAAACACCACAAAGTTGCTGTTTTACACCAAAATCACAGTCGCAGTCTCTCATTATGCACTGCATGCTGCAGGATTTTTTTTTCTACAGTAGGGCCCTGTGTTATGGTGTTTTGCCTTATGGCATTCCACTAATACAGACATCTCAAATTATGACCAAAACTCTCTATACAGCTCCCCCACCTGACTTTCTAATATGGCCACCGTGCTCCACCCAGTTCATTTACATTCTCCATGAGCACAACTCTCCATTATGCCTAGAATTATGCCCTTTGATTGAACTTTGTATAGAAAGGGATTTAGTTATAAGTAATACGTATTTTAAGATAAAGAGGATAAGTAAGTGCAGTGGACCCCCGACATTCGATGACATCGACATTCGATAAATCCGACATTCGATGCATTTTAACGGAAAAATTTCGCCTCGGCATTCAATGGAAAACCCGACATTCGATACGATTCGTACGAGACGTGTCCATGTGTGGCCTGAACTGCCCCGTGTGTGCCAGTGTTTACAAGCCAGCCAGTGTGCGTGCATCTAAGGATACATTCGGTACATTCCATATTATCGATATTATCACTGTTTTTGGTGCTTGTTTCTGCAAAATAAGTCACCATGGGCCCCAAGAAAGCTTCTAGTGCCAACCCTGTGGTAAAAAGGGTGAGAATTAGTATGGAAATTAAGAAAGATTTTGAAGGGTTTGGGGCTAACCCTGAGAAGCCTATGCCAGTTGTGGACTCCACTGTGCCTATTTCAAAAATTAAGGAAATGTGTGCAAAGTGGGTTGAACTGCAAACCTTTATGGATGAAAATCACCCTAACACAGCTATTGCAAGCCGTTCTGGTGACTATTACAATGACAATGTTATGGCCCATTTTAGACAAATCTTAACCCCTTCAGGGTCCAAGGCCAAAATCTGAAGTGGTGCTCCAGTGTCCAAGAAATTTTGAAAAAAAAAAAAAATTATTTTTTCTTACAGAATTAAAGAGCATATTTTTGTGAAGGTAATAAGACAAAAAAAAAAATCTGATCAGTACTTACCGAGATACAGTGCCAAGAAGTTTGTCAAAAATGATGTGGTGGCGGCAACATCGACGAATTCCACATAAGCGCATTACATTATTTTGCGGTTTTTACATTTTTTTCTTTTCTTTTCCAATTTTTTTCTATTCCTACTAACATTTGGGGCCTGAGAGACCAATACTGTATATAATGTATATATATATATATAAACTCACTGTATTGAACACAATAACCGCACTAAAGTTATTATCATATTATTGTTTACCACTTTTGTTTATTACAATAAACATGCACAAATCTTGTATAATACTAATGTTCTATCATATATTTACAATCACTGGACATGGTTTTAGAACTGCTGGAGCTTGTGGAACTCCTTGAAACAAGGCACCATGCACAGAGGCACCTTACATTCCTCGCACATAAACCGAGTGTCTTTGCGTCTTTGTTGCCGTCGTTTTGTTTGTGCACAGACGATGCATCTCTTCTGAGCAAATTTCTTCTGAGTTGAAGGAAGTTGTATTATGAAATGATCACCTTCCCTCCTCAAACGCTTGGGTATATCCTGAGGAATTCGAGGACCTTGTTGTATAGCAGGTGTTGTTACCTGGTACTTCATTATGAGTTGTCTGACAACAGACAAACAAAATTCACCATACGGTGGTCTGTTGCCAGTCTTTATTTGGTACATATTATATGCATTCAGCATTGAAATGTCCATGAGATGGAAGAAAAGTTTCATGTACCACTTGTAACCCTTACGAACACAGTCAACAAAACCAATCTGCATGTCACATTTGTCAACCAAGCACATGTTTTGTGTATAATCAATCACTGTCACCGGTTTTCGAATACGTTCATTAGTCACTCGATCAACTTTGCCACTGTCTTGCATTTCATTACGGTGATGGTTGTCAACAATGTGACATCTCGTTTGTCATGCCACCGTAATGCCATGATGTCATTGGCAGTAAACACCTGCACGTCATCACCACGAGCACCTGCGTTGAGCCTGGGCATATGTTTACAATTAGAACGCACTGTGCCACACACATCTGTCTTGTTCACTCGCATGAAATCACTGAGTAATGGGCTTGTGTACCAGTTATCGGTATATAATGTATGCCCCTTACCAAGATAAGGTGCCATCATGTTTCTCACTACGTCACCTGAGATACCCAATAACATCTTGGTATCTTTCAATGTTTTACTAACCCGTGTATACAACAATATCCAACACCAGGCCACTGTCACAATCACAGAGTACAAACAGTTTTATACCAAAGCGTTTCCTCTTGCTCGGTATATACTGCTTGAATGACAGTCTACCTTTGAACAAAATCAAAGACTCGTCAATTACAAGATTCTTGAATGGATAAAAGTATATGCTGAACTTTTGTTTGAGATACATGAAAACATTTCTAATCTTGTATAACCTGTCACTTCTGTCAGGCCTGGTTTTGTCAGAGAAGTGCAACTTACGTAAGAGTAAATAAACCTGTTCACTGGTATGATTTCACTGAAGGACCGGGGTAGAAATTAGCCGATCTGTGGACCAGTATGCTTTTATATTATGCTTATACACATGAGGCATAAGCATTATTGTTGCAAAAAGCAAATACATTTCTGCAACAGTCGTCTCTTTCCACCTGTGTAGTCTTGACTGTGGTGATAAGATCGTATTTGCCAGGGTGTACTCAAAATACTTATTACTTTCCCTGACAATAATTTCCATCAATGGCTGGTCAAAGAATAATTCAAAGAATTCCAGTTCATTGGCCGTGGTTCCAAGGGGACAAGTAGGTAGAATTCCACTTTGAGAGTCATCAAAGTGGTGAGGCTTGGGAACAAAATTGGGATTTTGCTGCCAATTCCACATAAGGTTTGCTGGTGGATACTGGACATCATAGGCTGGTTGTGGTGGGCTGGTGGCTGACGCTCCGCTTTGTCCTTGAACTGACGAGTCAGCAGCGTGGGTCCCAGCGTGGGCTGGTGAGTCACGCATAGCGGTGCCACTACCATCACCACTAACACCATCCACTGATGCCTGTGATCTATCCATGCCAAGTGTAGCCACATCATCCTCACTATCACTACCTAAAACTGGTGTAGGGCCACGGGATGTACTCCGGGATGTACTCCAGGATGTACTCCGTCCCCTGGGCACAGCATAGGGTACACTACCCGAGCGCATGCGGCGGCGAACATACCGATGCTTCACTGGTGAATATGATTCCTCGCTATCACTACTCGAATGATCGTCGAGTGCAATAAAAGCACAATCCACGTCACTATCATCATCATTACTGAAGTCAGAGGCCTGGCCACGCGAAAATATTAGTTTTCTCTTGTGTTGAGGAACAACCAACCGTGAGTCACGAGTGCCCACACCAGAGGTAGAAGGTTGAGGATCGTCAGGGTTTTCTGCACTATTATCGATATCCTGGTCATTCTTTTCGGTCACTAACTGATCAAAGCCGTAGAATTCGTCTTCATTTCCACTTCCATCACTGTCAGAACTATCAGATAGGAAGAGGAGAGTCCCAATTTTCCAGGGAGTGAGAGCTGACTTGCTACGAGGCATGGTGAACAAGGGTAACTGAGCCGGCGTTCCCACAATGCTATGCGGGCGCCTAGATTTTTTGTTTATGGCGCACACCCACCACGCATACCCGTTCTCTTACATGTAGGCCTATGAGCATTTTCGCGCTAAATTTGACAGCGCTAGAATTTTGGCATAGATCTACGGTTTGGACACTCAGCGAGAAGCCGTAGATCTATGGGACGGACCCTGAAAGGGTTAAAGGAACGGCGACAGAGGTCCAGTGACTCTCAAGCTGGTCCTAGTGGCATTAAAAGAAGTAGGGAAGTAACCCCGGAAAAGGACTTGCTACCTCAAGTCCTAATGGAAGGGAATTCCCCTTCTAAACAGTAACAACTTCGACACTCTCCCCTCCTCCCATCCCATCAATCATCACC